CTTCTCCATGCAGAGAAACGCTCCTGCATCTAAAGTGTCTCTGAAATTTGTCAAACCAGCCCTTGCTGGCACTGAATGGGGTTGGTCTGGTGGGAGAAGCACTCGATGGTCCTGCTTCTGCTCGTCACCGTCGCAAACATCCATACTTTCCGCAAAACTATCATAAAATTCCTTGGCCTTCATCCGGATGGTGTTGGTATCCAGCAAGATATTCTTCTTCCTGCAGTCATTTATCCACTGGGCCAATGCAGACTCCATCCTCACAATGGCCTTACTGCGGGAAGTGACCACCCTCTTTGTAGTCTTAAAAGTCACTGTTGCCGTAGACCTAATTTCTTCTCATCTTTATGTAGCAAACAGTAGATTCATTGATCCCGTAATGGCAGCCTACAGCTGTGTAGCTTTTACCTTCCTTTAACATGGCGAGAAGTTCCACCTTTTCTTTGATGGTAAACATATTCCTTTGGCGCTTGGGTTCACTGCCAGAAGCCTTAGACGGTACAGAACGTTTGGGTGGCATCATAGGGCTTGAAATAAATTCAAACTTTTACAAAAAATTCACAAAAACACAACACCATAGAGCAATACTGTGCTCAGTGATAAGATGTCAATGTGAAGTGGACAAGGAGAGATGCTGAACATGAACATATGGGCACAGTATGGGAGAGCAAACAGACTCATGGTATGGTCACTGAGCCAATCAGCGCCCAGGATACAGAGTACAGTGCTGTGGTTGGTCACCTTCCATTCCATCAGCCAATAGTGTGCTGTGTACAATCTCAGGTTGGCAAACTTGCACAAGAGGTAGTGGCCTACTGCATTTCCATTGTGTACCATGGTATTCATCCACTGATGAAGTACATACTGTACTTTATTTCAATTTAATATTCTTTTAATATGTTTGAATTAACATTTTTTATATTTTTGATATTGTTTTAAATTTTTAGGCAAAAATAATTAAAATAATAAATATTATATAAATACCTATATACTGCAAAATCCCACGATATAGTGAAAACTCCAAGATACGGGATTAGATATATATTTTTTGAAAACCCATGATACAGTGAAGCCACAATAAATGAACTGTGATATAGCGAGGGACAACTGTATTCCAGGAGTAAGTGGTGAATAGTACATAGTGTGTGTTTATATTAAACAGTGGCTGAATTAATCTATTCATTTTAATTTATAGAAATTACATCTCTGATTCTGAATGGAAGACAACAGGAAATTCTTACCAATGTCTATTATCAGTTGTGAGGAAAAACAGATAAACAATTATAAGGGTCTGTATGTAGAAGCACTAAAGATAGTCAATAAATGAGGGAATTCAGAAAGTACTGACATTTACACACTGGTGCACAGCACTGTTTGTGTGCTAGTGTGCTCTTGTTTCATATTCTTAGTCTATGAAGGTAGTGTTAGTGTCTGGCTTCTGACTTACCTGCAAGACGCAAAAAAAAATCCTGCATACTCAGACAACTGGCTTTGGCCCAATCAGAAGAATAGCTTAAAAAGCAAAAATAACATTCCAGCCCTGGCTGGTGTGGCTCAGTGGATTGAGTGCGGGCCTGGGGACCAGAGGATCGTGGTTCAATTCCCAGTCAGGGCACTTGCCTGGGTTGCAAGCCAGTTGCCAGCAGGGGACTCATGAGAGGCAACCATACATTGATATTTCTCTCCCTCTCTCCTTCCCTTCCCCTCTAGAGATAAACAAATAAAATCTTTAAAAAAAAAGTAACATTCCAGTTATTTCACATGTAACTCCTTGTTGTAACTCCCTAGAATAAAAATAGATTTCGGAAAGCAAATATCCATTAAAAAAGCAAATATCCATTAAAAAAGCAAAGGAGATAGGAATAGGACAATATCTTTCCTGGAACATTCAGATTCAAAACCCAGTTCTTAAGGTATGAACTGCATGGCGATCAATTCCCAAACAGCATCTCCAATTCACATGTAATAATATCTGTGTTAACACATCTTCAATGTCTAATTTTTATCCCTGAAAACTGTATTTACTGACTGGCCAGATTTTTTCTAAGTTCTCTAATCCCTCTCCAACATACTCTCCATGCTCTTGTTCTAGGCTGGACTAATGAATACATTTAAGAATTCAGAACTTCAGGAAAAGACCTTTTATTTGTAGTTAGAATTACATACTTCCAAAAAACAGACAAAATTCACAAAACACCTGAAAGTACCCCAAGGAGGTTCTCTGGTGTCAGGAGAAGGCACTGATTGTAACAGAGGAAGCACAACATACGTCTTCATGTACAGGGGCTGGTTCGATCCTATCAAATGAATATGCTGTCTTCTGAGTGTGATGATTGGTAAGCAGGCATAGGAAGACTGGAGGGTGTTCTCCACAAGGCTGGGAAGCCAGGCCCTCCAGGAGTATTATAACAGATATGTAAAGGTACAGATGATGGCAGCAAGGACAATGATGCTGAAGTCATCAGCCACAGCTTGACAGGATTTATAAATCAATAAAGTGCCTCTACCCAGCAGATCATCTTTTCTGACCCATTCCTTGGACAGAACACAAAATCTATTCAGAAAAAAAAGAAATGCAAAGTATTCATGTAACTGTACACAGTCTTTCAGGGCTCTGGGGAGTCTCCCCCATTGGCCAAAATGGCACAGGGGGAGGCACTTACACTGAACACACCAAGAGCTCACGAGATGAATGGACAGGGCCTCAGCACGGCAAAAAGTTAGAAAGCTGAATGGACACGACCCGAGCATGCCGAAAGCTAGAAGGATAATTGGATAGGAAAAAAGGGCCTGCCCTCCCTATGCTTCTAAGAACTGGGGGCTTAAGCAGGGATGGAAAATAGTCTTTGAGACAGGAGTTCCCCATTCTCCAAAATCTGGAGACCTGAATGAATCTCTTTCCTTTTGCACCAGCACCTGTCTCATGAATTCAGCTTTTGCTGTGGCAGGTGGCCGAACCTACGTTTTGGTTACACTCAGATGACACTGAAAACATACCAATACTGATATTTGCTGATTGGAAAAATGTACAGTCACATCATTCTGGAAAGGAGTGAAATCTAAGGTACAAGAAAAATACAGTTACAAAGCACACACATGGGTACTTTTGGTGGCTGTAAAACCTGTATTTGGCTATAAAGCACTACAAGCAAATTTAATGAATAACAATTTTTAATTAAAAAAAGAAAAGAAAGTATTTTTTTTGAGATAATATATTTATTTATTTATTTATTTTTTAATTAAATAAATTTATTTATTTTTTTTGAATTGTTTATGCTGTTACAGTTGTTCTATTCCCCCCTTCATTCCCCTCCACCCTGCCCCCCAACCCCCCCATTACCCCCCCTTTAGCTTATGTCCATGTGTCTCAAGTCCTTTAGGTTCTATATTTCCCATACTATTCTTGCCCCCCATCTATTTTCTATCTACTGTCTATGCTACTTGTTTTCTGTACCTTCTCTCCCCGTCTCCTCCTCCCACTCCCCTGTTGCTAACCCTCCTTGAGATCTTCATTTCTATGTTTCCACTCCTGATCTAGCTGTCCTTTTAGTTTGCTTTCGTTTTAGGTGTGGTTGTTAATAACTGTGAGCTTGTTGTCCTTTCACTGTTCATGTTTCTTTAACTTCTTTTTCTTAGATAAGTCCCTTTAACATTTCATATAATAAGGGCTTGGTGATGATGAACTCCTTGAATTTGGTCTTATCTGAGAAGCACCTTATCTGTCCTTCCGTTCTAAATGAAAGTTTTGCTGGGTAGAGCAATCTTGGTTGTAGGTCTTTAGTTTTCATGACTTGGAATATTTCTTTCCAGCCCCTTCTTGCCTGTAAGGTCTCTTTTGAGAAATCTGCTGACAGCCTGATGGGGACTCCTTTGTAGGTGATTGTCCCCTTAGCTCTTGCTGCTTCCAGGATTCTCTCCTTCGTTTTAATTTTGGCTAATGTAATTATGATATGCCTTGGTGTGTTTCTTCTTGAGTCCAACTTTTTTGGTACTCTCTGGGCTTCTTGGATTTCTTGGAAGTCTGTTTCCTTTGTCAGATTGGGGAAATTTTCTTTTATTATTTGTTCAAATAGTTTTTCCACTGGTGGTTGTGTCTTTCCCCCTTCTGGTACCCCTATAATTCGGATATTGGAGCATTTATAGATGTCCTGGAAGTTCCTAAGCTTCTCCTAATTTTTCTGAATTCTTATTTCTTCATTCCTTTCTGATTGATCATTTTTTTCTTCCTTCTGGTTCACTCCATTGAGTTGAGTCCCAGTTTTTTTTCATCTCTATGGGTTTCCTGTGGAATTCCATTCATTTCCCTTAATTTAGCCTTCATATGTTTCTCTAATTTGTGGCTATAGTCCACCAGATCTGTGAGGAAGCTGATGACCAGTGTTTTAAACTGTGCGTCTGAGAGATTTGCTATTTCTTCGTCACTTAGATTTATCTCCGGGACTTTGAGGTCCCCCTGCGACATTTTTGGTCTGTTCTGGCCCTTTAAGTGAGAGAAGCGGCGCCTTGGAGTCCCAGGTCGCTGGGTTGTGACGCTGTATGTGAGGGCGTGGTCAGAGCGGGGGAAAATGGGCCGCCGCGGGTCCCACCGCTCACTCCCTCACCCGCGCGTAACCGGGCACCCACAGTCAACTCGCTGCCGCCGCCTCCCCACTGACTCCTCCGTAGTCGCTCACCCGGTGGGCTGCTCACTAGGTCCAATCCTGGGTTTGGAACCCGTGCGACTGGATTCGCGCGTCTGGATTCCGCACCCGCGCCCGGGTCGATCGAGTTCTCCTTTGTAACTCCTCACCCGCCACCGGTCGGGCCGAAGAATTTGTTGTTTGCGGACTTCCGAAAAGTTCAGTTTTCCGTGTTCTGGTTGTGTTTTCTGATGCTAATATTTAGTTGTCCTTAAACTTGGTTGTGAGAGGAGGCAAGGCACATCCACCTTAAACCTCCATCTTGGCGGAAGTCCGAAAAGAAAGTATTTTGCTATACCAAAATTAGTTTAACCCATATCAAAATCAAATTTTATGCAAATACCTTTAGAAAACTGAATTATATAATTAAAGCATGAAATGACAGAGTACTTTTTATAAATAATGAATGTGTTAGATTACTATATGGTAAAGATATGGTTTGAAAATTAAAGCTGATTCAAAATATTTTGTTCAAATTTCACTCTTTAAGAAACTAGGGAAACTGCCAAATCACAGTGCCTTCCTTCCAATAGGCCCTACCAGAAGGAGTGTCCAACCTGCATCCCAACATAAAATCATAAATTTACTTAAAACCTTCGTTTTGCTCACCAGTTTTCATTAGTGTTTGTGTATTTAATGGGTGGCCCAAGACAACTCTTCTTCTAGTGTGGCCCAAAGATGTCAAAAGGCTGGACACCCCTGCTGAGGTTTCACAGCGCCCTAGTTGGGGGATCTATCCTCCGTCAAGAGAGGGTCATCAAGTAATAGTCAAAGAAAAGTAAGACCAAAACATCAGGTACAAATTAATTTAATGCACTTCCTGAGACTTACATAGAGCTCACTGACTTGAATAAAACAGGACAATTTTGTTTTAAATACTGAGCACACGATTTTCTGGCAGTATCCAGCACACTTTCCTATTACGATGAGGTAAAAAAAAGAGGGCTTCAGGGAGAAACAGAACACAGCGGAATTACTAACAACGTGAAAACCTCCCACAGAAGATTTCTTCTTTTTTTATGAGCTACAAATGGAAAAAGTGATAAAACATACCAATCCTATGTACAGGATACAGGGGATTTCATAGCTAGACTCTTAGGATGTTTTATGATTCGTCCCTAGGATGGCATTAATCTTCCCAGGGGACCAGAAAGTGATTTTCATCATCAGCAATACAGTAAAAAGGTTCGCACCACTGTGATACCCATGTCAGTCAATGTTCCTTGTCTCTCTCTTTCCCTCTGTCTCTCTCTATATAGAATGATAGTCACATCTCTCTGGTCTCATGCCCAACTGAAACCTCCATTAAAATGAAGAGAAGGACCATAAAGGAGACTTCTGGTGCCATTTATTTTCCGGTGACAGGAATAAAGCTGCTGTGCCACAGCTTGAAAAACACACAATAATTGTTGTGTGGTACAATACTGCAGAATGTAAAAGAAAGTATTCTTCCCAGAAAAAAAAGTTTCCCCTATGACTCCCTTTCCTCCCCCCTCAAAAAATACCATATACAGGATTTCCACAAAAAGTCAGGAAGCTTCCAAAGCCACACTGCTCATGCAAGTAGCATCACGACAGCACGAAGGACCAAGGCCACAATCTCGCCTTCTATTCCCTGCCCAGACTGTGCCCTCCAGGTCCCCAGGCCTTATAACTCTTCTTTAAAGTCTTCTTGTGTCTCTGGCCAGGATTTGTCTTCCTCACTGGGTGCCAACCATGTGACATAAACCTTCACTGGGTCAATGTTCCAGTGTTTGTGGAAGGATATGGGAACCTGGTGAGAAAGGTAGTCCTCAGGATAATCCACAGGTCGGGCCTGCAAGAAGAAAAGAGAATTATGTTCACTTGTTCATTGAGAACAATATTTCCCCAGAATAGCATGTGAATGTATGTAACAATTGTGTTCCTTCGATATTCGCTATCAGTTACTGGAATCCCAAGCAAGAAGGAAAATCTGTTCCATCAAAACAATACGCTCCCTCTCTGTAGGCTTTTAGCCTCTGCCCCTCTAGTTACTCTAATATCCCAAATGCATCACTTTTTGCTTCTATGTTCCAGTCATGCCTCTGGGAGATTCCTCAACCACAGGTAATAAATATAGAATAGGAGGCTTTCCAAGGTAAGTCATTTCAGTTTTTACTATGACTTCTGCAAAAAGGCAAAAAAATTATTTCTATTTCCCAGATCTGTCTAAAGGAACTGTAGCCACACTGGGCTGTGTGGGGTGGGCAGGGCCTTCTCAGGGCTCCTTCTGCCTGTGTCCCTCTGACATTTGGTCAGGAATGCCTGCGTTTTTCAGAGGTGCAAATGTGGGGCTAAGTGACTTACTCTCCTCCTACCTGAATATCTCTCCTGGCTCCAGAAGTGTGAATGGACATTTTTGTGTAGCCCAAAATGGTTTACAAGAGCCTAAGAAGTTATTGCATTATCATTTCAAAATTCTCTAAACTCAAGAAATGAAATTAAGCAAAATCGTACATAGCCTAGATCAAGATCTAGGCAGTCTACAGGGTTTGCGAGGAAACTGACACCAGATCCTATTTTGTTTGCTCTAAACAAAATATCCACCTTCTCCCAATGCTCATCTTGCTCATAAATTTATACAGCCTAACTGTGTTACATAGTCACTCACTGGGTTATCAATACTAAGAGTCTTGACTTTAGTTAAATTAGAAATGATACATTTTAAAAACAAGTCTTCTCTCGGCTAGTATTGTATTATATTCTGCTTAAATATTTGATGACTATTTAAACTCCTGAATGGTTCACAGAATATATTCATCAAAATTTTATTTCATCCAGTCCTTGAAACAACTTTGCAAGGTGATTGGATTATCAGGACTCATCCCTAATTAATAGATGAGGAAACCAGAGCTAACAGAAGTTGTGACTTCCCTGGGGTGGCATGACCAGCAAATGTCAGAATAGGGGTGAGAGCTGGTGCCCAGTCACTACTCCAGTGTCCTGCAGGACACATGAGCTGGTCCTCAGCACATAGGCCTGGCACGCTGACTGTTCTCTGGCCCCTGGCCTCCCTGGGAGGTGGTGTGCAGTTCCAACAGTGATACCTGTGAGAAAGACTTCGAAGTAAGGTACGGAGAGAACCTTTACCCTGGCCATTGTATTGCCCTTTAAAAAGTCTAAGCACTCATGGGTTTGAACACTTAAAAGAAAATTTAAAAGGAAAAGACAGTGAGACGGAGAATAAAAACATATTGGAGTAAAGTCTAATTGAGCTGGGGATGTTTTGATTACCAGCTAAGGGAGTTCATATACTCTGTGATGTTTACTAGCAATGCCCTCGGAGAGTTTGCTGGTGTGGAGGAAACCTGAGGAGACCGTACTCCCAATTCAGTTCTCAGATAAACACACAATGGCCCCAAAGAAAGAAAGAGAAGAGTGGGGGGAAAATCACTGCTTGTTTTTCACATTTAAAAATGAAAGGTTGGCCCTGACTGGTGTGGCTCAGTTGGTTGGGTGTCATCCCGCAGAGCAAAAGATTGCTGGTTCAGTCTCTGGTCAGGGAGTATGCCTGGCTTATGGGTTCAGCCTCCAGACAGATGTGTATGAGAGGCAACTGATTCATGATTCTCTCCCTCTCTTTCCCCCTCTCTAATAATAAATAAAGTCTTTTTAAAAAAGTTAACGGTTGAAGATACAAACATGTCAAACAGGAAAGAAGTAACTCCATAACATCTTTCCCTTTACTTATTTATTTATTGCAAAATCGAAAGTTTCACAGCTGTATTTATTTCTCCAATTTAATAAAAGAAAATAATTGTACTGATCGACCAACACCTGAAGTCTGAAGCCACCCCATCATCTTCCCCTCTGTCAATGTAAATTCCAGAAGTGGTAACTGCATTTCTGGAGCCAGGTATGCAAGGGAAGAGCTGGCCAAGCAAGCTTTCAAAGGTGCTAATTATGTCAATAAATGCGGCCACAGAAAAGAATAAGACAAAACTAGAAAAGTAAACTGCATCCAAAGAGGCATCTGTAACATCGTGAAGTCTATACAGCCTCTAATAATCACATCTCTGTGCCCAAAATGCCTGAAGGAAATCCCAAGTCGGCAGGGTCACCAGGAAGGCCCTAGTGCAACAGGGTGAAGCCAGGAGGGGCCCCAAACAGGGATCTGTAACGGGGTCTGGAAGAGCTCGGAGATGACTGGCTCCACACCACAGGGCCACACCTGCCTGGAGTGCTGGCTGCTGTGGCCAACAATGGGAGGAGTTGGAAATGGAGCTACAGAGGAAGATTGGTGCTGGGATTTAAACCCAGGTGTAGCAGCCATCTGGCATCTTGTTGGGACCGCACTGCTTTGGAACTGCCCGCTTTTCGCCATGTGGATGCTGCCAGGAGCCTGAATCAGAGAATTCTACTTCTTTCCTGAGATTCAGTACCCAGACTGGGCAGAGGGAGAGGGAAGGACTGTGTACACTTGTGGGTATTCTAAAGGACTTTAGTCTGTACAGCATTTAAATAAATAATAATTCCTTTCCTTTTCACCAAACTCTGGCATTGAGAGATGTCTTTCCTCTGGTGGCAGGCAAAGTGAACCTAGTGGGGGGAGGAATCACTGCAGAAAAAGGGGGTTCTTTATATCATTCACCCCACCCCCATCTGGTGAGTTTTTGGCGACCACAGAGGGACAATAATTGTCTGTGGCAGACCGACCCTCTCAGGTGCAGGAGAGTGAGACTTCAGAAGTTTCCCAGTCTCTCAGAATTTCTCTGCAGTCCTCCTGAGGGTGTCGGCCGCCAAATCACTCCCAGAAAGGTGAAAAGGAAACAAAACGGGAAATGGAGCAGAGAAGTGAAATGGTTTGGGTGAAAACTTGTGTCTGAACACCATTTTGAAATAATGGAATTGTGGATAATGGTTTGTTTAGCATGCTGCTTCCAAGTTGCCCCGGTCTACTCACTTACAGGTTTGGTGAGCCCAGGTAGCACTAAGGGAACCTGTACTCAGGTTTGGGAAGGAAGCAAACCCATAGGCTCTGTAAGCTGAGCCTGCCTGTATGTTGGAGATTGGACAGCAAGCCATGTGGGTGCACCACCTTTTTGGGTAAAATGGAGGATGAGCCACGTAAGTGCCCCACCATGGAGGATGGGTCATGCATGTGCATCGCCATCTTGGACAACCCAGCGTGCATGAGCGCTGCCATGATGGATGATGGGTCACCTGAAAGTGCTGCCATCTTGGAACTGGGCAAGGTGATGGGCTAAGGCTTCTCTTCAGATTATGGGCTATGTGTTACTGCTGTGTGGGCACTGCGCCAGTCAGGTTCTCTGTGCAACTGGTTCTGATAGGGAGGGCTCTGTTTTGAAGGTCACGAACTGGGGTCTAAGGGCAACCATCTGATTTATAGAGTGTTTGCAAGATCTAAGCTTCAAAAATCTGAAGGATGTCCCTGCGAGTCAAGGGACTTTTAGTGGGACATACCTGTAGTGCTAGGGACTTTTGGCTGCCAGATACTGAGTTTAAGTATAGTCCTTCCCAGTGTGAGAAAGGAACAGGGATTAAAAATGAATTATGGTTAAATCTGGACAGGTAAAACTATGTAGGAAAGGGTGTGAAAGTCTTAAACCTGGAGGAAACTGCTTAGTTTCTGGTTTTATAGGAACGTGGTTTCAATTTGGTTCTGTTTCTGATCAGAAATCCTCTGTACCTGAAGACCTAGTAAAGATCCCCAGTAACCGGTTGGGGAGAGAATGCCTTTGCCACTTGGGACCCAGGGAGGGTCATTTGGGGCTAATGAGTGTTTCAGCCTGAGGCAAAGGAGCATGTCTCTGCCAAGAGACTGGGAGTGAAAGAGCTCGTTTGTGCAGAGGCACCAGTGGATGCCCTGGTATAACAGACTGCCTCTGCCTGTGTACTGTTCTCATGGAGCTCTGTCTGTGTTTTGGATTTTGCTCTGTATCGGCTCTGAAAAGGAAATTGAGGATTCCAGGGAAGGTTAAAACTTGACATCCTGTAGGAAAGTGAACAAGGGAGAGTGTAAAATATGTAAATGAAAAAGGTATATGAAAGGGTATCAGAAGGAAAAGGATTTTCCTTCACATTTTGTATTTTTCTCCCTACCTGATCCCTCCAGAATTTGGCATTCTGAAATACTGAGTGATGACAAGGTTTCTTTGCATAAATCCATTAAGACCAGTCATTTGTGGTGGTTTGTTAACTGACATTTTGACTGGAATGTCACGCCTGAAGGAGGCACGTCTGGGTTCTGATCATCACCAGAAAGCCCTGAGGAACTGGGATTGACTTGCGAAGCTAGCAAAAGCCCACAAAAAAAAAGCCTGGTGCCTTGGTTGGTTGTGCCATTCATGGCAATCTTTCTAGGGGAGGAATGAAGGCTGCTTTCCTGAAATATGGCTAAAAAGGAACCTGTAGGCACAATGGCAGCCTCAAGAATTTGAGTGAAACAACTGGTTTCACTCAAAGTCAGATGGCAGATGTGTGGGTCTCCTTCTGTGCCCCAAGGAGGGGACTGAAAAGTCAACCTAAAGGTTCCTTGTGTGACTTCGAGCAAAGTAGACTTAAAGATCATAGGTGATCCAGGCTTCTCTCAGTGTGTTTACGCAAACAAACAGACAAAATTAAAAGCTGGACTCAGTGTAGTCCCTTTAATAACAATGAGGGTGATCTTAGGAAGAAAAACCATGGTTTAAGGAAAATTACAATGCTCAGTATTGGACATTAGAATGGCATGGATAACTGTCTTGAAAGTTTTTTATTTGAAAGTTAAAACTGGGTCACAAAGGACCTGTCAAATTGCCAATGTTAGATGTCATTGCAGCAAGGGCCTTGCAA